TGTCTACAAATTACTTTTCAAATGATGTATACCGAAAACAAAGCTATTTCCATATTCGCTTGCCACAAGATCTATCACTACTGCACTTGGTGCAGTTTGGTAATTTTCAATAAAATTTTTACAGAAATAAGTAGACGCCAAGAACTCTAAAAGCACAATTCATTGTTCTTGTGAAGGTGGAATGTTTTTCTTTAATTCGCTTCGAACTTCAGTTGACTCCCCACTTCTTCTTTCTTACTTATTTTTTTTTAAAATGGTCAGCATTTTTTTTGTTTTTGTTTATGTCAATCTGCGTCAGCTCTCAATTTGTTTGTTTGTCAGGTTTTTATTTTTCTACTTTAGCTCCTTTTGGTAATTTTGGTAATAGATGTAAGGTGACTATTTTTCTAGCATGCTCGTGAAGAGATTTTTTGAAATTCCAGTTTTTCACTATTCGCCATGTGACTGTTGTTAAGCAGTCTGTATATTGTGGCATATACTTCGTTGGGCTGAAATGCGATCAGATTAAAGGATCACATACACACTAGCTTGAAACATTTCATTTCCGTGCATGTGTGTTGTGTTAATTGCAAACAATTAGCAGACGTGAAACGTCAATCAGTGATAACTATAGCTGATTTCTGTTTAGAGAGTTAGTTTGTTTCCTAGGTAAAATAGTTGATTAATTAGTTCTAACATGGCATAACCTTCGTTGTTCTTTCGGGATTAAAAGACTGACAAATGCCCTTTGCATGGTTTTCATTTCACACATTGATAATTAGTCAGAAAGGTTTAAGTTACTGGTTTTTCTGCTCTGTAATGTAGTGTGTGGTTATTTAACCTTATATCATATTTAACATGTAATCTATTAATAACCATTGACGGTAAGTGGACATGTGTAGCAGACACGTATGAAAGACCTTCTCCTAATTGAGGACTGAAAAGTCACTTTTTACTTTGCCAGTGTGCAAAAACAGGTGTCGAGTAATCACTAGCTAATCAAACCACGGATGACGCAGTCAACCAATCAAAACATAGGTTCAGTCTACTTTGGACAATTACCACAAGCCTCCCATGAAAATTCACAAACACTTCGTTTTGATTTCATTACTAGAACTCTTGGGCTGTTCTGCTGGTTAAAGCTGGCTGCCATAGTGTTCAGTTTTATTCCATTCTTTTCTTTTTCAGCATAATGCTCTTTCTTGGTCTAAATGATACAATACTAGTCTTTTTGATTCTTAATGAATACCACATATCACATATGATTAAAAACTGGATCATTGGATAATGCACTTCAAGACTTTTTTATTGGCTTAGCCATTATGGTATATTAGCCAATATACCATAATCTACAAATATGGCAAGCGTACGCGTCAGCATAAAATTAAAAGGGTGCTAAAAAATTTAATAAAATTTATTAATTTAATTTTACGTTTTTAACAAAACAATTATTCCCCTCGCGCTTCTTGGATATGAGATAATTATAGCTAACTCGGCGCACGCACCTCGTTGGCTATCTATCATCTCATATCCAACGCGCGCTCGAAGAATAATTGTGAATTAACTGTGTGGTCTAGTTAATGAGTGGTGTTTTTTAAACTTAAATCACTCTTTTCGGAGAAGCCAAGAGAGCTTAAATGTGTGGTATGTGCCTTAAGGACAGACACCGTCCGTAACACTGTTTTGGTAATGAACAGTTACTGTGCTTAAACCTTTAAGGTTTTCAAACGGCGAAAACCAGGAGACTTAATCCATCGGAAGTGTTAATATGAACACACCTGCACATTGTAATGGAATACTTAAATATCTACAGGTCAACAATGCTCAGTTTGATGCAGATTGGTTTTTTCGATGTCTACATGCCGCTTGTACCACGCTTTCATTTTTTCTTTTGGTTACTTATACTTTTTACCATATCAAGATATATACCCAGCCATAGTGCTCATTAATCGCTGAAATCTTATATACGTCATTGTGTAACTCTTAAAGCTGAAGTTTTTAACATCAAATTTAAAAGTTCTAAACACTTTCACGATATACATTGAAAGGAATGCAGCGGCGCTTTTGTTCTTCCTTTGCAGTATTGCTTTAAACCTTAGGTTATCTCGAAGGAGAATTGTTATTACTAATTTTTTTTTTCACCAAACCTTAGCAAAATTAGATACAAGGTGAAAAATAAAGTAAAAAAAATATAAAATTCTCAAGGAAAGAAAAAACCTAAATACAAAATTACACCAATTAAATTAAGTCACCTTGTACATAGGAAATAGTAGAATTGCTGGGCAGCGAGCGTAGCGTGCGAGCAGCATCACAATCAGGATTGGAAAAGAATATAGGGAATGCGAATTCTCGAACTCATCACTTTTTATCAGAATGCATTACAGCTTTTAACCATCTGAGACTCGGATTTTTTTCCTATTACATTGTTGTTTCACGTTTTCATCTTCACATGACCACCTAACCATTAACGTTGATAGAGGTAAGACAGAAAGGTAGGAAAGGGCGCCAAGTTGTAATTTCAGAGAGCTCCACTATCGCTACCTGCCCCGTCAACATTTTCAGGCGTCATTTATCAGAGGTTGAAAAGCTTCCAGTTGAGGCAGGCCGTTATGTCTTTAGGGCCTTGTACAAGTTTAAATTAGGTCACAGACTAGTATCTGTTAACAAGCCGCTAAGTTACTCATGTATAAGAGATTACTTCAAATCTTGCTTTAGGGATATTGTTGCAGATATTTCTCTATTCAGCATACCTTCCTTAAGAGCCAGTGGTGCCTCTGCTGCAGCTAATGCTGGTGTTCCTGACAGACTCTTTCAGAGGCACGGGAGTTGGACATCTGTTTCCGCCAAAAATGGCTATATTAATGATAGTTTGAGTTCACGTTTGTCAGTGTTAAAAAAGTTAGGTATTTAGTTCTGTAGCGTTTACTTTTAACTTCATATTCCCTTTCTTTGGCTCTAGTAGAATGCTTCTACTACAAGGCTGGCTGCCTCATCCTAAATAAACTTTCACATTGAATATCTCACCTGAATGTGGTCAGAATTCTATCCCACCAAGAATAGATATCTTGGATCATGACATAGTGCGGTTTACACTCCGTGTAAGCCCCGCAATAAGGGTAACTTTTTAGATGTCATTTCCCCATCTTCATGATGTTTGGCAAAGCCATATGAGCTTGTCTTACAAAAGGCAATATATTTCTTCTATGCGCACACTAGAAAAGACTAGACTTTAGTTTAGAACTATGAAAGTGTCTGGAGAAAGATTTATACGCACGGTCGATCGAAATCCAACAGCAATAATAAAAAAAAGAAGAAATGTTTTGAACTGAATACCTTTGCAAAGATTTTTGTCCAAGAGATATTTAGACGCTCAATGCAAATACTGTACACTCAGATGAAAATCTTAAGGATCTTGGTCTGAGATGAAACATGGTTTTGATCTCAGATCAAACACTTGCATTTTGATGAGCATTTTCAATAATTGATATATCGTTAACAACAATTCCAAAATTGACCTAAATATTATTTCATAAACGGTCTTTGGTAGATTTCGCTCCCCCAACTTCCTGGCAACCTCCATCACAAACTTGCTAACCTGGTAATTTTAGGTTACTGCATCTATTTCTTCAAAGCTGGTAGAAAGCTGTGCGATCTTGAGTAAATCATAGTCTTCAAAGGGTGCTTCTGGATCGAAAACGGGAGCTATAACCGACTGAGAAATTTGCCATTCGCCAAAAATTGTTACTGCCCAATTGTCCTTACATATGGTAAACGAGAGAATAGCTTTTCGACTGACACGCGTTCTTCGTGAATCGTTTTTGGCTCCCTAAATCTTGTCCCTCCGTCTTCACTCGTGGTCGCACACAAACTACACCAAAACAATTAATCTTGCATGCATGTTAACGTAGTGTTACGGAAAATTGCAAAATTTCATCGCTGCATAAATCCTTGTTATTTAAATTGGGGAGGACAATGGAAAAATGTATCACTGCATATTTTTTTCATTGTTTCTTTTGAGAAGTCATCTCAAAAACTCGTGCTTCGTGTTTCATTAGGAGTTCCAAATACCTCGAAACAAGGTGTTTCTCGGTGTTTAGAACCCCTGATGAAACACTCGCAGTCGGTTTTGATACATTGCTTGAAAGACTTTCGCCAAAAATATCACTCTTAAATGGACCTGCTGGCTTCCTGGGCACGAGAATACTTCTGAGTATCTACAAACAAACAATCCTCTCAATGATCGATTATGGATGCATCATATGACATGAAAGTAATAAGTCCCTATCAGATAGACTCGAACGACTTCAAAACCAAACCAGGAGGGTTATTATGAGGGCCAACAGAACCACCTACACACAATATATGAGGAACACTCTAGGGCTGTTAATACTGTATAATAGGAGACGATTCCTCAGATTTGTTTTTATTTTTAAGATTGTGAACAACAAAACTTCCCTAAGCAACTAGAGGTTACCTAACCAACAGGGCTGAGCTCCAAAACAGAAATCTAAGGAACCATGGCACCCTCGACGTACCACAATCTGAGACATCTTTAGGAAGAAAAACTTTCCGAAGTGCTTCGTTTTGGTTTCATTACAAAAACTACTTGGCTGTTCTGCTGGGTATACGTAAAGCTGACTGCTACACTGTCTGGTTTCATTTTATCCAGTTTTTTCAGCATAATGCTTTCTTAATGCTTTAATGAATACCACATATGTACGTGGCGTTTGTAGTGCTGACTGTCGATCAATAGTTTGGGTCCGGTGATGAACGACAGAAACAGGATAACCACGTTTTCCGAAAAACTGGCACATTGATTCTGATTGTCTCTCGTGTTATTACATGGCGGTAGCGGTAGTTTTTTTTTCGCCGTAATTCGTTTAAGTCGTCGACTTAAACGAGTTATACAAGTTAAACAGTTTACAGCATGAGTGGTAACAAAAGTTCAGGTGGTAGCACATGTCCTTTGCCTCAATCGTCAATGTTTCATCAGATCACGCCGCCTCAACCTCTTGCTTTCAAACACATTAGAGAAGACGCCGAGAATTCGAAGCTTTGGAAAAAATACAACAGTTATTTCGTTATTTTTATGCTAAATCGAGAGAATCCGAAATACTATTTGGCAATGTTAACCACACGATCAGAAATGATGCTTTGAAAGTTATCAAAACATTTAGTTACACTGAAACCGGTGACTAGAATGATTGGCGCGCGGTAATGGATAAAATGGAGAAGCATTGTATCGGCGAGGTCAACAAAATTTATGAACGATGATGCTTTAATAGGAGGGATAAACTCTCTACATGAGTCGATAAATAGTTTTGTTGCTGAATAAGAAGCGTTAGCTAAGACTTGTAATATTCTGTGACTGTTTACGGAACAATTTGACCTTGTTCGTCCTGTTCTCGGAAATAAGAACGAGCAGACTATGAAGAAAGTTTTAAGGATAAGAGATATTACGTTGAATCGCTATATTGATGTATGCCGCAGCGAAGACGTTAGGGCGTTGCAAATGAGGTCACTATCGGAACCGGTAGACAGCATTAATCAGGTCAGATCAAAGGAGAAGAAGCCTCGTCTTCCGACGCTGGATGGACGGTCCGAGAATTTCGTGCACATATTTTGGCTACAATCATGCCCCGGAGAGAAAATAGTGCCCTGCCTAAGTTAAAGTATGTAGGCGGTGCAAGAAAACGAATCATTTTCCAAAAGGGTTCGAAGATAAAGATGCCTTGGTTTATACCATTGACAGCGATAAAGACCTGGAAGAGACTAGTGTTGTAATGATTCAAGCTATGAAAGATAAAGCCGTGTTAACTAAAATGTTGGTCGAGCAGAAACCTGTCAGATTTTAAGTCAACTGTGTACCTTGTGCTAATATTTTGCCATAAAAGCATTTGGTTAATATGGATTTTCCCCTTGTTTCCGATCTATTGTTATTTGGAATGGCACCAAAGTCAATCCGGTGGGGACGTGTGATCTGCCAGTTGTAGGTCACTGAAACAATTCTTGGTTTGCACCCACGTGACCCAGACCTTGACGACGGTTACTATCCGCCATATTAGCGTACAGCGTCTCTCGTTGGCTGTTAGTGTTTCACCTATGAAAAGCTGTTTTTGTTGCTTATTTGGAATGCTTTAGCATTGTTCCCTGTCTAATTGTGGACTGTCATACAAGAAGTGGTCGAGATAAGGAAAAATCTTTCTGTCGTGTGCCATTTGTGATAAAACACCGAGAGGACGAAGTCAAAGAACTCTCGATCGAGCGCCTTCTAAACTGGCTTTCCGCTATCAGCGGAGTAGGATTAACGGAAGATATTCTTAAAAACGACAGAGCTTGTTGCCGTCATTTCGTCTCTGGACGTCCAGCAGCCAATTGGGACAAGTATAATGTCCACTGGGTCCCTTCTCTACACCAAGGACACGATAGGAAAGGAAAAACGGATCTTGAACTGCAGGCCACTTGGTCTGATCGAGTGAAGACACGAAGAAAGCGAAGACACAAACAGGCTTTGAATGAGACAGCTGCCAAAGTACAGCTACTTGATGTTGACGGTAAGATGGTAAAGGTTCTCATTTTTGACGATTCTTTGTCGGATATTCTTGATGAGACAAGTGTTGGTTGCAAACAAGACGCCGATTTTGGGGATTTGGATGAAGTTTCATCACAGTTCAATAAACTGACATTATTAAAAGATGGAACCTCTCAGACAGAGAGCGAGTCTAAGGACTCAACAACCGAGACTGAGGAATATGATTATATGTTTGAGAATGATAAACAAGGTACCTTCGACCTCAAAGACATGCGGGATGATGATAAAGCACGTTTTTACACCTACCTGCCTTCTTTTCATGTTCTCAGTTGCCTATATGAACACGTTTAAAAATACTATGGTTGTAGTCAGGCATGATAATAAATAATTTTTTTTTGTCACAGACTAAAAGCATTTGTGTGAGGACGTTTCGGTTAAAATACTACAACCTTCTTCTGCAATAAAATGGCTACGAAAGCAAATGAGTGCTTTAAAAAGAGCCGCAGAAACTTCACTTGGGATTGCCAAGGGCCTTGTAAATGTCAGGAATGTAACTGTGTTCATTAATGGCATTCGGTTCACAAATTGAATGCCACGCTTCTAAAAGTAATCTTTTCGACCATTGGGAACAGCGGTCAATGATCTTGGCGTCCTCAAGCTCAAAATCATGATAGTATTTTATACAATGTTGGGTTAATAAAGAGTTTCTATCTTAGTAAAATCACTCTCTTGTATTCTCTAATCCTGGATCTTAAGGCACGTGATGTTTGACCGATATAAGCTTTGCCACAATCTTTACAATTAACAAATGGTAAACACCACAGTGTACACTATTGAGTTATGGATGTACGCGGGAGGTTGCTAAGCACGAAAGAAGCGTAAGAGTCGCTCGAGGCGATAGCCGAGAGCGACTCTAGCTTCTTGAGTGCTTAGCAAACCTCCCAAGTGCATCCATAACTCCGTACGCTGTGGTGTTTACCATTTGTTTTATAACATAACATCGATACATTGTAGCCATAGAATTTCCCTTTTATTGAACCAAAAATGTTCGTGTAGTCTTACATGACCAAACAAAACAAGAGCGCGAAAACTAGGCATTGCACGGGTATGCTCGTCAAGTCAATCGAAGACAAATGTGATCATGTTTACTGAAATTCATGAAAAAAAGCTCTTTCTGAGCTTTGTATCTACAGCTAATCGTTGCAATTGCTCAATCACGAGCGAAGTTTCTGACGAAAGTGAAAAACTGTCCTCAAATGTCATTTAAAAATTGACTCAATTTCGGAGGAAGAATTGTTGAAAACAATTTGCAAGTTTTGAATACTGCAGTCGCCGAAAAGCGATTTCGTTGCCACTTGTTTGGTCTGGAACGACATGGATTGCTTAGAAACTTCTGATGACTTGCTGTGGTTGTTAGTGGAGGAAGAAAAGGCTCTCGACAAGACTTGACTGCAGTTGTGCAGTTGTGATGTCGATGGACGAGAGTTGTAGCTCACCAGAGACTGTTCACTGCGGTGTCCTGAAATGGCCATGATGTGGCGGTTAGAAATCCCAGCGTTGGACCAGAGAGTGATGGCAGTAGCTCTTACACAATGATTTGTGTAAACTTTGGATAAATTCGCTTCTTCGCTGATATTTTTCATCATTTTAGTGAGGCTGTGTATTCCAAGCGGTCGTGCTTCGTACCAAACTGCATCTTCGGCTGCACAGTTTTTCTTCGGATACTGGAAAAAGGCAGTGCAATTTGGATTGACTTTCTGCAGGTATAGTTTCAGCGCTTTGTAGCCGTCTCCTTGATCTTGTGTTTCATACATTCTTGCTTCTTTTTCTGTGCTCTCTACATCGTTCAATCCTCCAGGATGATTCTTTGACATTTCATCATGGCTCATTGTTGCGTACCTTCGTCCAGCCGCATCAATTTCGAACCTGAAGCTCTTCGTTGTTAAGGTTGAAACTGGAAGT